TATAATCTGTCTAATATTTGTAAAAGCTATTTTATTCCTATTTAAAAAAAAGGATATTTTATCAACATTTGTTAATGAAAAAAAAACATACCTACATTATATTTTCAAGAATTTAAAGCTTATGAAGACAAAAATATACTTTTAATTAGTACCATTGACTCAATAGATATTAGAGTATATTTTAGTAAGGAATGAGTTAGTATTATTGATGAAATTTATAAGACTTTCCTTAAAATTAAAAACAACAATGTATTGTTAAATCAAAAAAGTATGGAAAGTAGATTAAATCAAATAACTGAGTATATGGTTATGACAATTAATTCATAAATGATATTAACTTCTTTCTTTTTTAATTATTTGAAATATTTACAAAAAATAAATAGTTAATCTTTATTTAAATGTCTTTCTTTTATTTTTCTAGGTTTAAAACAAATTAAATCAAAAAGCAATTTGCTTATTGTTTGTTAGCTGGAATAACTTCAGTCTTAACAGTAGTTGATTCGTCCTTTGGTGTCTTAATTTCAACAACATCAGGAATTCTAGCAGCTGGTCCATTCTTTCCAGATGGATCAGTATCTAACATAATGGTGACTTTAATACCAATAATACCCATACGAAGGAGGACACATCTAACAGCAGATGAATAGAATTGTCTAGTAGCATTACCAGATTTGATCATATATCCTTCCTTGAAGACCATTCCTTGAGCTCTTTGTCCTCTTAATTTACCAGAAATAGAAACTTCACATCCTTTAGCTCCTGAGTCCATAATAAGTCTCATGACTGATCCAACAGCTCTTCTGACTGGGAGACCTTCAGCAATCTTATATTTAATAGATTCAGCTTGAGAAACTGGGCAAAGTCCTCTAGCAAGAACCTTTTCAACATAAAGTTCAATCTTGTCTTTTGGGAATCCAAATCTAGCAATAAGGAGATTAGTTAATTCATGAATTCTTCTTCCTTTATCTCCAATAATGTTAGTGGTTCTTGTGGCTCTAATAATAATTTGGAATTTAGATCCATTCTTTCTAACTTCGACACCTGAATATCCATCAGCTGAAAGTTCTCTTTGAAGGAGTTCATTAAGTTCAGCATAGAAAACTCCATCAGCAACAAACTTGTGTTTTCTTGAAATGTTAGTCTTGAGAACATCAACATTGAGGGCTTTGGTCTTAGTTAAGCAGAACATTGCTTTTAGTTTTCTAGTTCTTCTTGTTTTATTTTTTACAAAAACCCTTTTTTTTCATTTTTTCTTATCATTTTTGATGTTTTATATAACATTTATAACCATTACTATTAAAATTATAGGTAATTAAATTAGATAAAAATGGAGAACTTCCAATAAAAATTGTACGTTAAATTTTATGTGAAATTTACTTTTTTTCAATTCTTGGTTATAAACATTTCTTTACTACAAAAAGTATTAAAACTATTCAAATGAAGTTTTGTATTGAACAATATTTGCTTAAAAAAATGGCAAATGAATTTTTTAATAAACTCCAAAAATAAAACCATATATAAAATAAAAATAAGTGAAATGAAAAATTAATAATTTGATGATTTGATTGAAACAGAATTAAAAAAAAATACTCATTTACTATTTAAAATACATTTATGATTATTGATATAAAGACTATTTTTATCTTTTTTAAATGATAGAGGTATTGAAAAAGTTATCAAGATGTTAAATATGCTTATTTTTTCTAGATATTTTAACTTATCAATGAATAAACATCTAAAAGAGTAATAAGTTGTATATATTTATTGGGTTGTTTAAAGATATAGAAAGAACTATTCCCAAAAATTAATGAGATATTAATAAAAAAATAATTATTGATGTATTTTTTTTTCACAAAAATTGAAACTAACGGGATTGAATTGTTTGAATAAGTAAATAAGAATCATAAGATTGAAAAAATATAAAATCATTGAAATTATATTGAAAAGATTCTCTGTAAATTAAAGATAATTCGAAAAATATGAACAAATACATTGTATGTAAAAGAACCTTAAATTATAAAAAGAAAGATACAATTTCAGTACCCAAAATTTTCAATTATTACAATGTAATACTAATATATTTTCAATGAGTCAATACATTGTCAATCTTATTTAATAATTATAAATTTATCAATAAAACTATCAGAAAAACTGAGTAATTTTTCTTTGAATACTTATTATTATAATTATTTTTGTAATAAAATAAAGAAATAAACTTACTTTAAACTACCTTTCAACAACAATCTCTATTAATAAATTGCTTAGTAAAGATATTGAAGTTTATATGAAAATATCAATTTACTAATTATACCATAAAACGAATAATTACTATGAATAACAATAATTACTTTTTTGAATATAATAGTAGTATAAGTAATAATTAATAATATTAAAAAATAATGTACTATATACTTATTAATTACATTAAATTCTCCACTTAATCATTAAATGTCATTAAAATTGATTTTTTTTGTTAATCATTTATTTCATGTGTTTGGAAGTTCTATTTCACAATCTTTAAAAGGATTATTACCTTTTTTATTATGTTGGGTATTCTCATTTTTTGTTAATTTAATGTTCAACAAATCCGTTATTAACATTGATAATTTTTTTACTTAATAATGACCAGAATAACGGCGACAAGGATTTGTATTAACAGAACTACCATTATTGGTTTCATAATGAGATATATAAAATATATGAAAAAAGTAATACTTCTATATTTTCGTTTAAACATTATTTAATTAAAACAAGACTAAAAACCACATATACTAACTATTTTCTTATCTTTAAGTTAGTGGCTCTTTCAAACAATCCAACAAATACGTCTTATATTTCTAGTAATATTTTCTCCTTACATTCTCATGTTATCTGTTTTCTCTTTACTTAGATACAGAGTTGTTATTGACAAAAAAAAACGAAAAATTTTGTAAATGATTGTTTAGAGAGAGATTTTTGTTTCTTTCCTTTGCTTTAAGGAAGAAACAGAAGGATAATTTTAAATATAATAAAATATAGTTTTTGTTATTAAAGAGAGAAGTTCAGATTATAAAAACGTGGAACCAACCAATCAAAAATCCAGATCATCTCATCTTCAAATAAAAAACATGAGATCACGATCGAGGTCTATTCCAGTTGAATCAATAAATTTATCAAATAGTTATCGGTTTGTTGGTATTTATTAATTAACTCCGAAAAGAAAAACAAAACAAACCCTGTTAATTTTTGATTAAAAGAGTAATATGAAGTATATCAAGTAACACAGTTTTCTTTCGGAAAGAATTCAGTTTAAAGCATAATTTTATAGTAACTGACATATAGAAATTCTTTATTGATTGTTTCAGATCCACAAACAGTTCCATTACCAGCTGTTGAAGTTCAACAGAAAACTATTTCACAAGAAGACCGTGTTCTTACATGTTCAATGCTTTTTAGTGGTCCTAATGGTAAACCTAATTTAAAAATTTTAAAAGAACATTTAAGGAGACAAGGAAGATTAGAAAATTATGCAGCCGTTAAATTAATTCGTCAAGCAGCTGATATTTTTAGAAGTGAAAAGAATATATTAGAAGTTGATGCACCAGCAATTATTGTAGGAGATATTCATGGACAATTTTATGATATGTTAAATTTTATGGATCTTTTAGGAAGTCCTGAAGATAATAAATTTGTGTTTCTTGGAGATTATGTTGACCGTGGAGATTTTAGTACAGAAGTTGTATTTTATTTATTTGCTCTTAAAATTTGCTATCCAAATAATATTAAAATGTTAAGAGGAAATCATGAAAGTAGGTTAATGTGTGAGTATATGACATTCTTATTAGAATGTCATAGCAAATATAATATTAAAATTTATGATGAATTTGTTAGTTGTTTTGATTGCTTACCATTATGTGCTTTAATTAACCAAAATGTTAATGGTAGAATTTTGTGTATGCATGGTGGTCTTAGTCCATCAGTTGGTCTTTTAGAAGATATCATGAAAATTAATAGATTTACAGAACCACCAAGTGAAGGGTCGTTATGTGATTTGTTATGGTCTGATCCTGTTTCAGAGTGGGATCCTGACTCACCAGAATGGTTTGGAGTTAGTCGTAAAGAGTGGGAAGAAATAACTTTCAAACCAAATAAACAAAGAAAAACTTCATATTTCTATGGTAAAAAAGCAGTTAATAGATTTCTTGCGGCAAATGATCTTTTTTGTATTGTAAGGGCTCATCAAGTTCAGGATAATGGATTTAAAGACCATAAATATTTCAATCCATCTAGACATCTTTCAGAAGTCTTCACTATATTTTCTGCACCTAATTATTGTGATTATTATAAAAATTATGGAGCGGTTATGAAAATCACTACTCGGCCATTTGATATTAAAACATTTGTTTGGAAACAGCATCCTGTTGTTTTAGAAGATTTCCAGGATGGAATGTCATATTCATTAGACTATTTGATGGAAGGAATAATAACAATTTTACAAGAACTTATTGTTGGAATTAAGGATGATAAGAATATTGGAGATGAACCAGAAAGTGACTTACTTGCTGAAAAGAGTAAGAAATTATTTGCTAAATCTTCAAAACTTCAAGAACGTCGTGAAAAATTATTAGCAGTGAATGACAAAGACTATCATAAGAATATGTCATTATTTGAACGTGCTTGTATGTTAGATGAAGTTAATGAATCATGCCCAACTCCTGAAATGATTACTAGAAAATTCCAACATCATCCAGGTGCTTTAAGAAAAGGAATGTCATCTCCTGCACTTCTTCAAAAACAACAACAAGAAACACAACCAAGGCCATTATCTGGTGGTCCTGGTGGACAATTAAAACCAACAAAAGAAAAAGGAGGACTTATTTTCTTAAAGAAATCTTGAATTTCATTAATTACTATCTGTCTTACTAAACAACAAACCTAAATTTATTCTAGTAAGAAATTTTATGTTTTTCATTTTTAAGAAATAATTAAGAAAAAAAAACAGGTAAAAAATATTCTTTTAACTAAAAAGTTAGAGTATTGATAGATTTATATAAAATTCCAATTTGTGTACATAAAGCACAAACTATAAAGTCATTTTGTTCCTCTGAAGAAATACCAAATTGCTCTCCAATTAATGGATGACAAGCATCTTTTACAATAATAATTGTTGATTGTGGGAACATTTGTTTTAATCCAGCAGCAGTGTGAATAACACATATCCCAGTAACAACTCCTGAAATATAAAAGGTTAATCCTTTTCCAGTACCATATTGGTATTGAAGAATAGAGGCTGCAGTAAACTCATCAACAATATTTCCTTGTGGAATTCGTTGTAAAGCAGTTCCATTAAAGAAATGTTTACAACTGATAATATAATCATATTGATATTCTTCTGGTGAATGAATTATAGGTAATTTATCAAATGTTTTTGTTATTGCTTCAATAGAAATTGGTTGTTCAGGAGTTTGATAAATAACATTATTTGGAATAACAACTCCACTCTTTAATTTTTTTTCTTCAATTTTTTTTTGAATTTTTTCGGTTAAACGAGCACTTGCATTTTCTATGTCATTTTTTGAGTTTGTTTTATTTTTGTAATACTAAATAACAAAAAGAACAAACCATTTGGAGAAAGTGTAAGGTCATCATCAACAAGGTTATGTATTGGATAAATACCACCATTAATAGTAAACTCTTTTGATGTTTGTGAATGGACATCAACAAAATTAATAACTTTATCACATTTCTCAATTAATAAGCAAGCATTTTCTTTTTCATTAAGAGAAGCACCACTATAGAAACTACCATTTTTATCAGTGAACGACTGACTCCAATCAATTAATATACATACTTTTGTCATATCCACTAAGACAAATTGGATTATAAGTTCTTCTTAAAACCTCAAGGAAATAATTTAATGATTAATAATAAAATGTGAGATAAATAACATAAATTAAATAATATAATAATAAATAATATAATAATACTATAATAAAAATAATGCAACAAAAGTGGAAACCCCAAAACGAAAAAGATACCCTTCTGAACTACAAAACTTGCACAAGAGTGAAACATGAGCAAGATCCTCGCCCCAGGTCGTGTTGTTATTATTCTTTCAGGAAGATTCGCCGGTAAGAAAGCCGTTGTTTCCTCTGTCAATCTTCAAGGAACTAAAGACAGAAAATATGGATTTGTCACTGTTGTTGGTGTTGAAAGAGCTCCATTAAAGATCACTAGAAAAATGTCTGCTAAAGTCCAACAAATGAGAACTTCTGTTAAATCATTCTGCAAGGTTATTAATGTTAATCATGTTATGCCAACTAAATACACAGTTAGCCTTGAACAATTCAATCTTATTAAAGAGGTTAAAATCAACACCTTTGAAGCTGGTAAAGTTTATCCAATTTCCCAAAAGAAAGCCATTTCCTCTCAATTTGCTGAAGAATACAGAAAGGGTAAAGAATCATGGTTGTTCACTAAACTTCGCTTCTAAACGAGTAAATGATTTGGGTTATTGAGTAAATACCAGGATTGATTTTAGGTTTTGATTTCTTTTTCTTTCTTCTAAGTTAAGAGTGGGTTTTTTGAGGCTTTCTTCTTTTATAATAAGAATAGTTGTGTTGTTATAGATGTTATTTTGAGATAATTTGAATTAAAAATTATTCACTAAACAACTAATTTGTTGTTTATTTAAAATTTACTGGTTAGTTAGTAATAAATACTCAATAAACTCTTTGAATAAAAACAATAAAGTATTTTAAAAGCTTGACAGTCTTACATCAAAAGCATTTGTATAGAATTAGTTGTTAAAAAAAATAAATGTTACAATCTATTTGAGTAATATAACAGGAATATTAACCTAATAAATTTTCTTAAATAATTAAAAAAAAAACTAAATTGTCTGTCTTTAAATAAAAAGTTAGCTAAAGTTAGTAGTACTTGAAGATTTTATTAAGAAAATATAATAAATATTAATTAACTAAGTGTTAATTAAATTAATTTATATGGTTCCTTATTCATCTGAGACTAATCACGTCAATGACCCTTCTTCTATTTATTCTACTGAGTACGTTTGAATGTGATAAAATTATTTAATAACATTAATGTTTTTAATGACAAAGTTTTTTAACTTATTTACTAACGTCAATTTAAATTTTTATTTCTTTATTTAGTTTAATACTTTCTTTATTTATAATTTAATTTGTTTTGACACGTCTTTGTTTCTCTATTTTCTTTATTCTATTCTTTATTTCATTTTCTTCATTTATCTCCATTATTATTCAGATATGAATAATTAGATATATTATTTATTATATTAGTTTTATTCTTTTTGTTTATTATTTATATTTTATTTTTGGATTTCTTTCTTTTATTGAATTTATATTGTTTCATTGAATATTTTCAGTTACTTATTCTCATTATACTTAAATTTAATTCATTTATTGTTATTATGACACTATCATAATTTCTATATCTTTCATTCCACGAGGTGATTTGTTTTATTTTCAATTCTCTTTATTTAATCTCACCTGTGTTTCATATAACATTTCCAATATTCTAAAGTAATATTGTTATTTGGGTATATTTCATTATTTGGGTATTTCTTCCTTATTCTAATTTTCTTGTTAGAATCAAACATGATTTTATTTGTATTGATTCTGATTATTGCATTTTTATTAAATTTAATTCTTTATTCATTCTCATCATATATTTTAGGTACTTTATTCTTTCTAGTGCTTTAACTTTTATTCCTTCTTCATCATATTCATTTAATTTCATGATGCACTTTATTCTGTACCATTTTCTTCCCTTGACTAGATATTCTAGTCTATTAATTTTCTTTAGGATTTCTTTTATTTCATCAAATTTGTCTCCTATTATTTTATTTTGGAGATAGATGTGCATAATCATTGAAACAATCTTCATATCATCTTGCAGATCCTGCATTCTGCTTCCTGACAATACCCATCTATTATTAATTTCCATTATCAATTCGTCAGTTTCTTTTCTTTTCCAGTAGTAATTAATGTTTGAACATTTTTCTACTTTCATTTCTTTTATATTATTGATGAGAGTGTTAAGGTATTCTTCATCAATTTCTGTAGAGTTATTCTTTAATATGATATTTTTTTATTATTGAATTACACTCTACTCTTCCTTCTATTATATCATTCACTTTCACTTTAATGTGCCTTTTAGTGCTTTCTTTTATATTATGTGATATTTTAATATATTTAATATATTCTTTTTCATTATTTACATTAATGTTTATTGCTTTTATTATACTTTCTATTTGTTCATTTCTTAATTTCTTATATAATTTCTTATTCAACCAATTAATTGCAAAACAATACAACACTTCAATTAAAATTCTATTTCTTTGTTTTGTTGTATTTCTTGTCTGATTATCATCTCTTGTTTTTTATCTTTGACTCATCATTTATTTTGATTATTATCTTTAATTCTTTCTTTTCTTTTTTTGTCTTTAATTGAACCTTTAACTTTCTCTACTTTCATTCTAACTTGTTCAAAGACATCAATTAATAGGAATGTTCACAAATATATTCTTCTTATTGCAAGATGGTTTTTTAAGTGAATTTGATAAGCTTTACTTTTGTCATAGAGTTTTTTTGTAACACAATAGCATAAGAAAATTCCTGTTTCACTTTACTTCTAGAGTATATTTATTATATGATAAATACATTAATAATATGATAAAAATAATTTAAAAAAGAAAAAACTGATTTTAATTAAAATTTTCAACTATTCTATTTGTAATAAATACCAATATTTTCTGAATTACAAGTCTCTGGATATAAAGAACTAATGCTATAAAATTAAGAGACAATTCTAAATAAACATAAAACACAAAAAGAAAACAAAAATGAAAAAATCAGCAAAAAATTTGATTATTATTCATTATGCAGACGAATGAAAAAAAAGTCGCTTTTGTTACTGGTTCAACTGATGGAATTGGATTATTTACTGCTACTAAACTAGCCCATGATGGGTATAAAGTCATTGTCCATGGAAGAACCCAAGAAAAAGTAGAAAAGGCAATGGGTATTATTCAATCACAAATCCCAGAAGCTGACCTAGATTTTGTGGTATGTGATTTACAATCAATTGAAAAGACAAAGATGATGTGTGATTTACTTTTATCAAAATATCAGAGACTAGATCTTTTATTAAATAATGCTGGTGTATTTTTATTAGAACGTCAAGATAGTGTTGATGGACACGAAATGACATTAGCAGTTAATGTTTTAGCTCCATTCATTATTACTTTTAAACTTCTTCCTTTAATCAGAAAAACACAAAATTCTAGAGTTATTGAAGTGGGAAGTATTTCTCAACCATCTTATATGGATTTAGATTTAATAGAACACAAAGATAATTATGATGGATATAGGGCGTATGACTATTCTAAGTTAAGTGTTATTGCCTTTACTTTTGAATTAACAGAACGATATCCAGATCTTTGGATTAATACATTAGACCCAGGAACAGTAAATACTAAAATGTTACTTCTTAGCTGGGGAAAATGTGGTATTGAAGTAGGAGAAGCTAATGATGAGTATTGGTTAGCAACAAACGAAGACCTTCAAAAGGTTAGAGGAAAGTATTTTGTCAATAAAGTAGAGGAAAAGGCAGAAAAACAAGCTTATGACTTAAACTTCAGAAAGAAATTGTTTTTAAAACTTGAAGAAATAACAGGGATTAAATACCCATTAAATTAAAACTATTTCCTCATTCCGTCTTTTATATTTTATTTTTTGGTTCAAGGTGATTGACTATTCAAGCTTTTTTTAAATTGAACAATTCTATTACGTGTTTTGTAATAGAAAGAAAATAAGAGTTATTATCTAGAGGAAGAAAAAACAACAAGAATGTAGTCAACGAAAGAATAATAACAATAAACCCTAGGTATTCTAAAAATAACATGAACTAAAAAAGAACTTAAAATAAAGAAACTATAATTTAATTAAAGAAAACTACAAAAAAAATAGAATTATGAGATTGAAAAAAGGAAAAGAAAAAACCCAGGATATATAAGTGATAGAACTAAAAGTGTTTAATCAAATAGAAGGAATAATGGCTGACGATATGGATTTATTCGGAGAAATGACACCAGAAGAAATTGAAGCTGAAAAAAAGAGAAAGGAAGCCAAAGAAGCTGCTAAAAAAGCTGAACCAGTTGGACAATCTCAAATTGTTTATGATATTAAACCATGGGGAGAAGATACAAATCTTGATGAAATGGAAGCAGCTGTCAGAGCTATTTCTAGAGAAGGACTTGAATGGAAAGGATCAGAAAGAAAAGACGTTGCTTATGGTATTAAGAAACTTACTATTATCTGCAACGTTTTAGACTCAGTTGATACTGAATCTGTTCAAGAAGAAATCGAAGGTCTTGAAGATTATGTTCAATCTGTTGACATTGTTTCCTTCAATAAACTCTAAGTATTATTATAATTGAATTGAGTTGAACCAATTTTTTTTTGTTATAAATAACTTTCTTTCTTAATTTAGTAAAAGGCGAAATAAGTTTATTTTTGATATAAAATAAAAATACCTTTTTGTATTTATTTCTTGTTAAATAAAAAATAGTTAATTAAATGCTAATCAACCTCTCACTTATTCATTTATTAATGACATTTTAATCATATCACATAAAGTTAAACTGAGTAAATTCTTTGTTTTGCTTATTATTTAAGTTTTCTTCTTGTTTTGTGAATAAATCATTTTATTATTTTTTGTTTCGTTATATATTATTGTCTTTTCTTTCGTCTTTCATTTTATTTCTTCATTTTATCTTCTTCTTTGGTTTTTATTTTAATTATAATGAATTTCATCGTTCTTTATTTCTTATTTTACGTTGAATAAACATTTCATTATCATTATATTATATTAATTAATTTATTTAATATTACAACATAAATTATATTATTTTCGTTTGATATTATTCTTGCATATTTCGAAATGATGAAGAAAAACCTATGAAATAAGGAAAAGAAAGAAGGTAGAGTGAAAAGAAGAAGAGTGAGGAAGAAAAGAGATGAGAAGAATTAGAGAAAGGAGAAAGAGAAATAATACAATGAGAAGAAAAGGAGTATCAAAAAAAAAAAGAATAAAAGAAGAGGATGAGTTAAAAGAAGAAATAAGTAATAAAAGGATAGAAAGTGAAGAGTTGTGAGTAGATTGGTGGATTAAAGACATGGAATAGAAAGAAGCAGTGAAAGAGTGAGAAAGAGAGAAGATGAGAAGAAAAGACAAAGGAAATAAAAGAAGAGAAAGAGAAAGAAAAGGGGATGAAAAAATTAATAGTTCGAGTGTTTCACAAGAAACAAGATGAAAAGATAGTAAGGAAGATAGAAGAGAAAGGGAGTAAAGGAGTGTTTGTAAGAGAAAAGCCAGTTTTTTGTGTGCCAAGTAATGGGAATCGAGTTAAAGGACTTATAGATGGAGAAGAAGCGATGAAAGCGATAGGGGAGAGTATAGATGAAGCGAAAGAGAGTATCTATATAACTGATTGGAGAATAGACCCCGAGATAATTTTAATAAGAAGAGGAGTACATTGGCTAAAAGGAAAGACATTAAAAGAAATACTTGAGAAGAAAGGAGAAGAAGGAGTAAGTATTAAAATAATAATATATGAGTCACCATTTTTTATGGATGTTGTCAAAGGAGAAAAAAAGAGAAATATCTTAGAAGAAAAAGAGAAGATAGAGTGTTATTGTCATAAATGGATGATGGGATATAGTCAACATGAGAAAACTGTAGTTGTTGATCATAAAATTGGATTTTTAGGAGGGATTGATTTAGCACAAGGGAGGTGGGATACAAGAAGACATTTTATAGAAGTCTGACATTGAAGAGAAAGGAG